TACAGCAAATACTTTACTATCCACTAGTATCAAATGAAACAAAATAATAAAAACAAACAGATATAAAGCCAGCAATAGTAACAAAAATAATTATAGCCCTAATACAAACTCTTCAAAAACCAATTTCACTCCTTATATTGACACTAGTTCAAATTTTCAAAACAGCAGTACAACAGTCGATATCCTTACATTAGTTGCAGAAATATTTATTCAAAATAATTTTAACTTTTCATTATATATTTTTAATCTTATTTCAAATTATCATAATTTTATTTCTCAAAATAACTCTGAGTAGATATATATAGCTGCTCGGTATTATTTGATTAATATACTAGTTTTAAAATATCTTTTCTAATAGAAGTTAAATGATTGCTATAGACAGGCTAGTATTAAACTCATTGCAAATTGCATATAAGAGATATTGTTTTTTTTCAAATATATATCTTGTAATATACAAAAATAAAGAAATGATATTTACCTATTCAAAAAAAAAAAAAAAACTATTTTAATAATATTATATAAAAAATTTTTAAAAAAAACTTTAAAGTTAACTTGACTTTGCTTGTTAGTATAATATAAGAAATTTTTTTTATTAATAAAATTCAGAAATCGGGATCTGCATCACGTGTTACACTATTCATAGTATCAACCCATGTTTATTTATTTTTGTCATGTATAATGGCTTATTGCTATATTAGTTTTCTATTTATTGTAGCGGACGAGTCCATGTTTCTTTGGATGGGATTACGATCCTCGTTTAATCACTGGTTACGGTCGGTGGTTTCGTCCTACATTAAAAGAACCACTAATACTCTTGATTACGGTCGGGTGTGCATGAGTTGCGGCTCCGATGGTTTATTGTAGCGGACGAGTCCGAATAGGATTATGATCTGAGTTCAACTACTGGTTACGGTCGGTGGTTTCGTCCTACAATAAAAAGAACCACCAACACTCCTGGTTACGGTCGGGTGTGCATGGATTGCGACCCCGGTGGTTTATTGTAGTGGACGAGTCCATGGATCTGTGGATGGGATTACAACTACTGGTTACGGTCGGTGGTTCGTC